GCCCCTGGTGCAAGAGTAATTATTTTTTAGTTACTTGCAGATTTTTCGTCTCTCTCTTCTCTCTCTCTGCTCTCTCTCTTCTCTCTCTCTCTCTCTGCTCTCTCTCTCTCTCTCTCTCTCTCTCTCTCTCTTTCTCCGATTGAGCCTGGTGGTAATTTCAGAGTGTGCGTGTGTAGTCTCAAAACTACTCTCTTTCTCTCTCCTCGTTTTTCTCCCTCCTCTAACTTTTCTCTCTCTTCTTCTTGTCTCTCTTTCCTCTTTCTTCTCTATTCGTCGCCTCAGTCTCTCTCCTTTTTTCTTCCCCCCCTCTCCCCCTTTATTCTTCTCTCTTTCCTCTGTCTTCTTTCCCCTTTCCTTTCCCTCTCATATTCTTTTTCGCTTTTCTCTCTATCCTCCTCTCGTCGTCGTCGCAAGGTCGGTTTTCTCCACTTCTTTCTACCTCTCTCCTCCCCTTTCTTCCCCCTTTCTTGCTCTCTCTCTCTCTTTCTCTCTCTTCTTTCTGCTCTCTCTCTTTCTTTCTCTTCTCTTTCTTTTCTCTCCTTTCTTTCTCTCTCTCTTTCTTTCTCTCTCTTTCTTTCTCTCTTCTCTCTTCTTTCTCTCTCTTTCTCTCTCTCTTTCTTTCTCTCTCTTTTCTCTCTCTTTCTTTCTCTCTCTTTCTTTCTCTCTCTCTTTCTTTCTCTCTCTTTCTTTCTCTCTCTCTTTCTCTCTCTCTCTTTCTCTCTCTCCCTTTCTCTCTCTCTCTTTCTCTCTCTCTTTCTCTCTCTCTTTCTCTCTCTGCTTTCTCTCTCTCTCTCTTCTGCTCTCCTCTTTCTCTCTCTCTCTTCTTCTCTCTCTCTTTCTCTCTCTCTCTTGGCAAATGCGGTTCCAATGATCAAGCTGCGAGAAAAAGCTTGGGGGCCTTTAGCTAGGGTTGCCATACGTCCTGAACAAGCAAGATATGTCCTCAATATCGACATGTGTCCTGCCAGGTTTTGCTTTGTTTCTGCCAAAAGTCTTGCATTTTTAACAGTTTTTTTTTTGTAGGACTGTATGGAATTATAAAAATCCCCACATAGTCCTACAAAACAACTGTTTGGACTACTTGGAACTACATCACAGTACTATACGCTACATAAGAGAATGCAAGCAGCTAATTCCTTTGTGAAGCAAATATTGTTATTTTTTTCTTTTTTACAATCTGAGAGCTGAAAAACAGAGAAAGGTCATGTGTTTTGAATTGAAGTGCATCTGTTTCTCCCACAAAGCGTTAGTACAAGAGAATTTGGAATGCAAAGGGAAAAGGGCTCAGTCAATAACAGTTTTAATATCAACCAAAGTCATGCTTTTATTTTATTTATCTTTTTTTTTTTTTTACCCCTTGAAATACTTTACAAATTTTGTCATTGAAAAATATGGAAAGGACTTGGATAGCCTCCAGGGAAATTCATCCAATAAAAAGAGATCACCCTGAAGGTTGCAATAAATCCAAATATTGAGGTTGAGTGAATTTGAAGCACGTGGTGAATTTTCTTTAATATTCAAGATGTAGGTATGTTTACAAATTATTAAAGAAACATAAACATTTTCTTCTCCAAAAAAATCTTCCAATGGTTTCTTATTTTTTAATAAATATGTTATTGTTATCTTTATTGATGATTTTGAACATGGTAGTATGGCTACACAGCATTTTAAACCTTGTCTTTATAGAATATTAATTAAAAATGAAGATGACAGAAAGATGATTTAATGCAGAATATACTTAAAACTACTAGAAATCTTTGGGTATTATGTATCACATTAGATTTTACTTCCATCATTTATGAATGAACGTGAACAGGCTAAACGAAAAAGTAGAAAAATCTGATGCCTTTTATTTTTTATTTCCTTCTTCATATTCTATAGAGATTATTATTTAATGTATTATTTGTTTACACACGACCAAACAATAAAAGTAACTTTTTTCAGTCCTATAATTAAAATGGAAATAGGCTGGGGAAATACCATATGTTTTATCATGTTTAAACATTCAATATTTGAAAAATCATGTTTTTTGTCCATTTTCATAGACATTGAAAACCTTTTGGGGAAGTATCAAACTATCAATGTATTGATGTTTGGGTAAAATTTGCCATCACTACTTATGGCAACCCTACCTTTTGCCCAAATTGAGATTCATGTACCATCAACCCCTTTTATATTTCCCTTATAACTAAAATCCTCTAGATCCAGGGAAGTTATGAAGTGCTATCAAGGTCCATATTGAAGGCAATAACATAGTCTCAGTACAAAATGATATTTTAATTATTAAATTAATAACTAATGAAGATTTAAATGTAGTTTCAGTCACAACAATAAAAATTAACAGAAATACTTACACGACCATATATACCCATTAACTCTGCTGTGTTAGGCAAATTACTTTCTCCCAATAAGTCAAGAAGAACAGCACTCAAAGATGCGAAGTGTTCCATTCGTTTTGCATCTTCTTTCAAATCAGAATAATCTAAATAGAGGCAATAAAAATTTAAAAACTTGATTCAAAACTTCAAACTATCTTTATAGCTCAAGAAAGTTCAATGTAACTCACGTGACATAAGATCTTTAAATTTTCTAAAACCAGTAGCTGAGTAATAATCTTTCTCTTGATCACCTCCTCTCTACACTCAACACAACAAAGTCTTAATATGGAAATTTTTAGCCAATTTCATACTTATAAATAATGAGAAAATGATATGATAATTTACAAGACAGGAAATAAAAAATTACCTACCTGCAACTTAAGAATAATTCTTGCCATTAAATGGGCAGCATCAGGCACTGTGCGAGGTGCAATTTTCCTCAAGTAATTACATTCATATTTATGCTCATTCCATGCTTGCTTCTGACATTCACGTGAGCAATAATACAAATACTGGCAGCCAGAACACCTCAAAACTTTTGCTCTGAAAATCAAAACATTCTAACCAAATGGTATATAAAAAAAAGCCTTGATATATTTAATTCAATAATAATTTGAAACAAACCGCAACAATTAAAATTAAAAATAATCAGAAATTGAACTAAACTTTAAAAACAGTAACTGATTTTCCTTCATACCTATTAAAACAATGATTACAACGATCACTCCTCAGCTTCGATTTCAATACAAATGCAAATGGTTTAGCTGTCAATATCACTGTACCTGGCGGTACAGGTGGTTCTGCCTTTAGTTTTACCTTCATTGTTTCAGTTCGAACCTTAACCACACGCTGAATTTAAGCAAACAAAAGCGAGTTAATTCTTACACCGAAGAGGAAAGTGATACCGTCCGTCCCATTTTGGACTGGCCAAGGCTGGAGTATTTTTATGCTAGGTTCCATTTAACACATTATGACGCACGTAAAGAACGAGTACTCAAGATCTCCGTTTCATCTGGTACTGTTCCTCTTGTTTTCGCTTTTTGAAACACAATACACTCCGGAAGTCACTTCTCCACGTGTGTTGAGTATGGGCGCATGCGTGCCGCTTCATGCTTGGATCTGACATAACCTGTGACGATACGACATACACAAATACATGAGCATGCGCTCCTTCGATACACCCCCTTATAATGAATAATCTCAATCTGCTGCCATAGAATAGTCTCGGACCGCTCCATGCCGGAGAAAAGCAAGATCTTCTTCAAAAAACTGAAGGATTACAAACAATTTTAGGTCTTGGAAAAAACATTATATTCCATCATGACCATGACTGTACGACTTAAAAGACCTACAAAACACCCCCTTCTTAATTTAAGTAGGCTCGGTTTGTCCTGGCCAGAGAGTATTGTGCCTGCCTCTATCAATAAAATTGCCTTTGCTTTTTTACCAGGTGATATAAAAATCAGTTGATTCGTGTTCCCGGGCGCATAAATTGCTCTAGCCACTAGTCCCGTTAAAACAGTGTTTCAAATACAATGTATTTAAATACTTGTATTTGAAATAAGTATTTTAAATACATTATGCATTTGAAACATTGTACTTTTTTCATTTTTTGGGGTATGAATTTTAGAGATTAATATTTAATTATATATTTTTAGACGCTAGTGCTGTTCACAGATGAACGGACGGACTTACAGACCGAGAGACAGATGTTATGGGGAAACAACAACAACAATAACACTTTTTCGGTATCATGGGACCCCAAAACGTGTATTTCCATTGATATCTCATAATCGATTTTCCGCAACATTACATATCTCTCTCTATACAACGTATATTAATCCGTATATACGTAAGTATACGAGAAAGTAAAAGTGTTGAAGTCAGACAATTATTAATTACCAGAAAATTAGTCAGTCAATTGTCATTGTAATATTTATTCCTAAATATCTTAACAAAATTGTTCAATCACGCTTTTTGCACAAATGTATTCATGTTATAAGCAATTGCTTTCAATTTGCGTTTAACATAAATTTCGTATAGCATATGTTGACCTAATTTTCTCGAGAGCGCGATATTTGTAATAATTAGTAGCATATTTTTAGTAATCCATTTTTGTGTATATAAAGCATAATAGAGCATCTTTGATCCATTTCTCTCTCTCCGTCTTTTCGCTCTCTCTTCTTCTCTCTCTCTTCTCTCTCTCTCATCTCCCTCTCTCCCTCTCTCCCTCTCTCCCTTGCTCCCTCATCTCCCTCTCTCCCTCTTCTCTCCTCTCCCTCTCTGAAATTTTTGCATCCGCTGACATTCGTCCGCCCCCAAAAATTGGGCGCCCCAGGCTGCAGTCTAAACAGCGGCAATCTGGCATTGCGTACCCACCTATATACGGAGTAAGGAAAAGCTGAGTATTGGGAAAGTTTTGTAATGCTGTGGAAAATCGACTTCGGTATTTCAATGGAAAAACACGTTTTGGGGTCCCTAGATTACTAAAAAGTTTTGTTTTTTTCTTCCCCGAAACGTCAGTCTGTGAACACCACTAGCGCCAAAACCTTGTGTAGGGTTTCTTCAAATTCGAAAAACTTCTGTCCACCTGGCTCGAGTCGAAGCCTTGAGATTTTGAAAATCCTTCTTTAATATTTGCGAGTACTTGTGCAGCATCAGAGACATTTTCAAAATTTTCTCAAAAACTTTTTCAATTTTTTTCTTTAAATATCTTGTAAGTTAAGTCAAATACACTTATGAATATGGCATATGCTCAATTTTCACGGTTAACTATGAATTTCCGAAAATTGCACAATTTAAAATGTTTGCGGCGTCTTCCTACAGGTACAGGTACAGCTACAGGTACAGTTTTTTTCAAAAAATACAAAAATGCACTTTTTACTTGTCTCCCACATTGTTAATATTTATATTCAGTGCAATTTCTTCACATTATTGTATTTATGATTACACATGCTTTAAAAATGTGATATGAAGTTTCTCGAAAACTCCACCCTTTTATATTTAAATGACCTCAAATTCCGCATTTTCAGAAACGCTCAAAGTTTTTTCTTCAAACAATTCTAACAGATAGGGCTAATTACACTGTTAAAAATGACAAAATCCATTTTGATGTATTTTTTTGATTTTTCAAAAATTACATAAAGTATGTTTTTTGTAAATATGTCTCATGCCGTTATTACCCAAATTTCCAGCGTTTTGTAAACACTATTGGATTTGTAAATTAAAGTGCCTTAAATAATTTTAAATGTAGTTTTTCGAAAACTCAAATATTTTCTGTGAAAAAGAGCTTCCAATTTTTCATTTACAGTGACGCTCAAACCAATTTCCTTAAAATGGCTCCAAATTTTCCAATGTAAAAAATTTCCAATTATAACGATGTTTTACTCTTCTTTAATATTCTTAAAATGTTCGTCTGTCTGTGAACACTACTAGGGCCTAAATCATAAGTTGGATTTTCCCAAATTGTTGAAACCCACTCATCTGGCTCGAGTCGAAGCTTGGAAATTTTGAAAACTATTATTTAAAATTTGGGGTACCTTATTAAGGATTTTCTCGAAAACGGCTCCGTATTTCTTCATTAAACTTTTGTAGGGATTGTGCGAAATGTATTCTAAGAGATAACATACACGCCACTTTGCTTAAATTGCTTTGTTTATTCAAAATTTACCAAAATGTATTTTTTTACTTGCCTCTTACGTCGTTAATATTTACATGAGTGGCATTGTGTTTATATTATTGAATTTATGAGTACTTGTACTTTAAATAATGTCAAATAAATTTTCTTCAGAAATCAATAGGTTTTTGTGAAAACGAGCTCAAAATTCTGCATTTCCAGAATCGCTCAAACGTCATTTTCTCAAAAACGGCTCCAAATTTTTTCTTCAACCTTTTCGTACAAATGGTACTATTTGCTCTGTTTAAGATGACATAAAATTCATTTTTCGAATGTATTTTGTTTCTTTAAAAATACACAAAATATTTTTTTTAAATAGATCCCATGTCATTAATATGCGCATTTCCTGCAATTTGCATACATTATTACATTTGAAAGTGAAAGTGCTTCAAATGACGTCAAATTGAAACTTGTAACGGGATCTTAATACTTTGGTATTCTGGAAAGATTCACTGGTTTCTCAGGGTTGTGCAATTTACTAGTGAGAAAAGGGCTCTCTAGTACTCCTAGTCTATGAATAACAGAAAACCACTCTTTTGATAACAAACAAGTATAATTCATCAAAAGAAGCAACATTATATCACATAACACATTCATAAATGTAATACAGGTTTTAATGTTAATGCAAATAAAAATTAATGTCACAAACACCGTCTGACTGTAATGAAATGAATAATCTCAAAAGAAATGAAGCAATACTGTAGAACTAGCTCTGAAAGAACCAAATATTCACATACTAGCTTCCAATTAATGTGAATTTTCGTTAATCAATATATATCCTAAAAAATGTAACTACTTTTGCCTAACCTATAAACAGAAACGGATAAAACTCTTTATAATTTCCTATTGTTTAATAAAAATACTCTTACCGCGTTGTGCAGTGATTAACGCAAGGTAACGTAATACATGTTTTCTTTCTTTCCAAATATACTCGCCTAAGCAACCATTCGTAATTTAATACATACATATGCTCTTTCAATCTAAAGCCTGTAACCAAATAAATTAACTGAGGTATCTGTTTTACTATCCTAACAATTCTTTAAACTGATTTACCAAAGAAATCGCTGAGAAGCGAATCATGTATTTTCTATTTTTTAATTAATGATGGATTTTTCGACTTCCCTTTGCGTTTTGCATTCGTGGTGTAACCTTGTTTTCAGTCGGGATCCGTTACACAGTTGTGGCGTCGTCTTCCTTTCGCAAGCACTTAGTCCCCGTTGAGTCCTGACGCGTCGATCTGATGAGTCTGGATGCATTCCAAGCCATAATAAAATGGGGCTGAGACCGAAAACACTACTCAGCATTCTCTTCAGAAGAACGCATTTCTCGAAATCTCCTTCGTCAATCTCTCACTCTGTTCCGGTTGACGGGTCGCTTGTAACGGAGCGTTTACACTGCGAGAGAGATTGAGCGAACAGCGCCCGTGCAGTGAAGATCTAACTCACTGACTGCGATCGAGACCCTCGTGTATTCTGTTTCAGCTACAAAGTGACCCAGCTGTCCAGAATCGCACTTCCCACTACGAACCAGCTGACCACAAGGAGCGGGAGACAGCATTGCACATAGCTGCAACCCGGCACAGACCTGTCCTTGGTCTCCCGCGAGTCGTTCCGGCCAGCATTTGCGGAAAGCAACCGGCGCTTCCGAGAAGGCGCGGCTTCGGCCGTTGCCCGACTCGGACTCAGACGAGAGATGGCTACTGCACTGGAAACGTGGAAACCAGCGACGACGACAGCATCAAACTGACAATCCATGAAGACCAATCACCACAGACGGTAACCCAGCAGACAACCACTACAGCGCAATCTCCCGCTACAACTGGCATTTCAATCGCACGACGACCTCATGACCCCTCTCCTGACAGGGAGAGGTCTCAATGAGATTTCTGACTGAAGATCATTTCCAATTTGTCACTAAACCCTCCATGATTAATCCCCTACCCCAAACCCAATCCCTACTCCTGAGCAACCTCTACACTCCACTCCAACAACCTGACTCCCGATCTTGTACCTCCGGCACCTCAGACGACAACAACAAGATTCCAAAAAACCCTACCGCAAACGAACAACAACACTCCAAATAACTAAAAAAACCACCGATGAAAAGCAAGATAGACCTTTCGGAATACACCTCAAATACCTCTTCCAACCGTCCTCAAACCCACAACGCAATGACTGCCAAATGCGTCGCGAATAATTGCGCCTGTGTGGTCCATTACAATACACGAGAACGAACATTCGTCACCAGATTTTGTCTACAGCGCTCATTGCTATAATTTATTCTTAATGCAACCAATGTTGGGAAAGGAGTGGGGGTAGGTATTCCGAGGCTCAAGAACACGTGCGGATATAATATATCACACCAGCGGTGGCAACGCCCAAGCTCTAAGCTCCCGACCGGTCTTCCACCATGTGTGGTAGTGTAATACATGTTAGTTTAAGTGTGAGTGTAAAGATAGGACAAGGAAGAAGGAAAGATCGCGCGGTCCTTGTTAGGGTACGTGGGGTACGGTCCGTTTGTTAGGGTACTGCTCCGGCATTCGTCACCAGAGAAACCTCAGAAAACTACCAATCAGAGCAGCCGACCTATAGCATTATCCTCCAGACAGCGACTGAATTCGACATAAGTGACAAGCTAGTGTCTTGCTCGTTGGGGCTCGAATCTAGGACCTCCCGATCAGAGGCACTGCAGTGACATCAGTTGATTCACTGAGCCACCTCTCCCGGTACTAATCTTTAACGTCGGGGGGGGGGAGATAGGTGAAAGTTAGAATAGGGCCCCTAATATTAATTAGAGTAGCGTAATTAGCGTTAATATTAACGTACGACCCTCAAAAATGTAACTGACAATGTGTACGAAACTTGATTGTTGATAGTAGTGGAGCGTGAATTAGAACACTCGTGTTCTAAGAAGTCTTGTTAAGAAACTGATCTCAGTGTCTTAAAATTTGGCTTTTGACAAAGTAAATAAAAGTACCTACACTTGTTTGTTCACTTTTTCAAAACATTTGTAGCTTTCTCGCGCAGATTTGAATTAAATCGTTTGCGTTTTTCAAGTAATGGCTGAAGTGTTAGAAAGAGCAAAATTATATTAGGTAACCGGTACCAATAATACGAGAAAGTGTGTGCTGTTGACTCGAGTATTTCGTTTGGACGCTGTTATTTCGGTGTAGGTTTTTCGTTGCTTTAAAACTCATGGGTACGTACAGGCCTACCATAGAACACGAAAACGTATATTATAATTAGTAGTTTTATATCTGAACCTCTAATGCATGAAGCATAAGGGATGCATGCAAAATTAATCTCCAACGACGTTTTGGCTGGAATCACGGGAGTAACGCAAAGCAATAAAAAAATAAAGAAAGTCGGCCACATCTACTAAGCGACATGCGCACCATGTCAGTCCTACCAGCTGATAAGAAATGCGGCAAACATGGATGGCGTTATCGGAGAGACGTTGATACGCTGATCATCTTGAAATTATCTATGTTATTTTTCTCCTTGAATGGTAACAACGTATCAAGTGAGAATATTGGTGGCGAAGTGACAAAAAATTTGACTCTTAGTTTATGTAGATCAAACTCGAACACAACATACTCCGGAGTAATGGATGAAGCCGGTGACAGTTCTGGAGTTGAATTGGTAGAAGATGGATTTGGATTTCTTGTTGTCGAAGGCCAAGGTGATTTATTGTATAGTAATACAGGCCAACAGCGTGTTCAATTGGCCATTTTCTTTTACATGGATGACTAAATTTTTTGTAAACAAATGCTACCAAATTTTTTAGCACTAAGTGTATACTTAGTATTAAATGATGTCCCTAATCAATATGTTTCAGATGGTAATACATGTTCAGAAATTGTTCGAAGGTTTACAATGACAAATCAGAATGGAATGACTGTACAAATCATTACATACGGTGGAATTATTACATCCATTCAAGTACCAGATCGTAATGGAGAAGTTGATGATGTTGTTTTGGGATTTGACAGTATGCTTGGTAAGTATTAATAGGTGTTGGATATTAAACTGATTTCTGAAATGGCTATTAAATTGTGAATTTGCAGGTTATCTGGGTGAAAAAAATCCATATTTTGGAGCTATAGTAGGAAGAGTTGCTAATCGCATTCGTGATGGAAAATTCAAAATTGGCAATCAGGAATACAAAACAACACAAAATCGTGGTGGATTAACTCTCCATGGTGGATTGAAAGGATTTGATAAGGTAATATTTTTTTCATATGTTCTGCAATGATATTTTCTTTGTATAACATGTAATTGTTTTTTGTTTAGAAACTTTGGGAATCACATGTACAAGGTTCCAAATTAACATTAAGCTATCTCAGTAGTGATGGTGAGGAAGGATTCCCAGGAACTTTGCTCACACATGTAACATACCAACTTACACCACTTAATGAACTCATAGTAGAAGTTAAAGCAACCACTACTAAGCCCACCCCAGTGAACATTGCTGGTCATTCATATTTTAACCTTGCTGGACATGTAAGTATATAAGGAATTTTGTAAATAACAAGCCAGTACAAATTGTGTGTTTGTGTGTGCACACATGCGTGTTTATGTATGGACATATATTTATAGACACAATTTTCTTTCTTTCTTTTTTTTTCTAGAGCTCAGGTTCAGAGGGCTTGTTACAACACCATGTCTCTATTAATGCTGATCAATATACAGTAACAGACTATTCAAGTGTCCCAACAGGTAAGATTGTTTTGATAATTCGCTGTTAGTTATCAGAATTTTAAGATTTTGATTCAATATTTATTTTTATGTAGGAGAAATTAAAGATGTGCTTGGCACTCACATGGACTTACGAGTTCCAAGGCTGCTAAAAGAGGTACTACCTCTTATCCCAGGACTTGGATTTGATAATAACTTTTGTGTTAAAAAGGCTGCAGAAGGGGAAATGAATTTTGTTGCAAGGTAAAAGTGGAAAAAGTATTTTTTTATACTTATTTATTTGTAAATGCTGAAAAATTTATTAACTATGAAAAAAGGAGAAATTGTTTTATGATGAATCCTGATAATATGAAATCATTGAGTGACCTCTGAAAATGAAGGATATTTATCTAAATGATAAGTCTTAATTCCTATAAAATAAGTGTGTGTAATTGTTGAGTGTGCCCAGAATTATGAACCTATTTTTAACAATTGTGCATGAATCTTTTGTCAGATTGTATTTGGTCCTTTATTTTAAAGACCGAAAATTATTATAAAATAACTGTTTTATACCAATATATTACATGTGATACAGTGTTTTGGAAAATAAGTTGAAAATACCATTGACAGAAAAGTAAATAATAATTTCAAATTACTCTCTTGTCGGCTCTATCAGCTGTTGATAGAACACAATGATCTCTGCTGTACAACTTCACTCAATTATACAACCCAGGATCTCTGAAGTGAAACGCCCTTGCATTCAGAGGATTAACTATTTTTGTTTGGTTCTGTTTTAATTGTGTCCTGGTAAAATCATTTTTAAGAGGGGGGAGGGGGAATTACAGTTTTGTGCATTTTCTGCTTTTCTATTTATCCTTTCAGTAAAGTATAATCATTGTTATAGGGATAATTTGAAACTACTACTAGTGCCACTTAGTGATATACCAATGCTTGAATAGAGCAGTGTCAACATTAATTTGTATATAAATACTGATCATGACCTCTGGGTTATTTTGAACCTCATCTGAAAACTACCTGTGCGTAATTTTCTTTCGTTATATTGTGATAATTTTTATTAAGTGTCATCATTCACTTCAGCTCTACATGCATTTCTTAAATTAGGCTATAATTAAAAATCATTGAATGAATACTTCCCTCCACCTCTTGTGTGGGAGGGCTTGTCCGGTAATGGGATATACTATTGTAATAATGTACTATTAATAACCAAACCAATACAACATTGTAGAATCAGGTATTTATTTCACTCTTAGAAGAATTAATACACTTATTGTTGTCTTTCCAATCTTTTGTTACAGTCCTCATTTAACTCATTCCATCTGCAATTTCCATTATTGTACTGCACACCTGAAGGATTAAATTAATTTGAGTGATATTTACTCTTTTCTTTTCATAATCCAATAATAGTAATCTCTCTCAATCAAACTTTCACGTGCAAATTTAAAAAATTACTGGGTATCGCAAAACAAACGGGAAATAAAGTACCCCGGTATTCCAAACTATTTGGGGTTGTGGTCTATTCGGATAATCCGAAAAAACATACTGTATGTACACAAATACATCTGTAGGACTACCAGACACAATGCAACATAGCATGCGATGTGAGAAGCAGATCTAGCAGATTCAATTCCTTACAGCAAAGATAACCGATATTGCAAATTCCTCTAAGAGAAAATTACTGCTACATAAACATGTGATATACACTTGTTTCAGTAATTAGTTGTTCAGTTTTACAGTAATCATAAAATCCTTCCTTTTCACTATAAAAATGCATTTTATTTATTTTTTTTCCTCTATTTCAAATAGTGTTCGGATTATATGTAATTTTGGATTTGCTGAGTTCGGACTAGCAGGGTTCTACTATAGCAAGAAAGTGCATATTATTTACAGACTTATTAATTGTGCTTAATTTTTTTATTGCAGTGTGAAACATCCTGGCACAGGCCGTGTTCTTGATGTGTTTTCGAATCAACCTGGTGTTCAATTTTATACTGCTAATTACCTACCTGATCCAAATGCCTCAGAAGATGAAAAACTAAGAGGAAAGGAGGGAGTGCCTTATGAAAAATGGGGAGGCCTTTGCCTTGAAACACAGAATTACCCTGATGCAGTTAACAATGTGAGAACTATTCAAAAAAATTGTTTGAATTTACTTGAATACTCATTATTCTAAATTTCTTCTTCTTTTTTTTTTTTTAGCCCAATTTCCCTGACAGCATTTTAATACCTGGGAAAGAATATTTTCATAGATTTGTGTACCGTTTTGGTATTTCTGATTGAGTATTGGCACAATAAATGTGATTCAATATTCAAAAGAATGAGGTGATGGATGTCTAGTTCCTGAACTTGCATTTCTTTTTATTTTGTTTCATGGTGTGTGTATATTTGTATAAATTTGGTCTCAAACTGTGTTTTACTGTTCGCAGCATTAAACGTTTATTTTCTTATTGGTCTTTGTTTGAAATATACATTATACACTTCCTTTGTGACTCATTTTTTAACCTTGTTGCATACTTGCGACTTGAAGACTGAATGCCTCTACACATGTACTTTGTCAGACTGCCCAAGCAATCTGACAAACAGCATTACCACCATACTGCCCAACCACTTATTTTGGACCAGGCCCCAACCTACAGTGATACAGACCTTGGAACGCTGTCCCAAATATGAAAGTTATTTAATCAGAAAGTTCTGTGGTGTATTGGGTAGTTGAGGGACTCTTAATTATGAAAATGAAGTCAACAATTTCAAAAGAAAAGTTGTGAATCCAATATAGTGGAAAAACTTGAAAGCAAATTTGATGAAAGAAATTCAATGAAATGAGAATGCAAATTTATTCACAAAATCGCTAATGTTTGAGGATTTTGCCAATAATATAAGAATGAACTTAACATCTAAAAAAGTCTGCGTTTATTTTCCAATTATATCAATTACATGCAATAACAAAAAAAATAATTAAACCGTACCAGGGATGCAGGAGCAACAACTTATTTTGAAAGGTAATATAATAGAAATTGTAAAATTCATTGCAAATTTTTACTTATTAATGGCTTTCCAGAATTTCAACTTATTCTCGCTTCCACTTATATTTATTAATAAATACTCCCTCATTTTGGATCTTACCACATATTTGTATCTTTGGCAAGAACTTTAATAACCTGTTGCCAGCATATAACTTTCTCTGGTTATGGGTTGATTTCAAACAACTATATAAAAGTAATTAAAAAGACAAAAACCCATTTTTGCATTTTAATTACATAACTATAAGAGTAAACAACTTAAAAATAGAAATCCCTACATTAACTCCCCTCCAATATTTTGTTCAGCTTTTTCAAGTCTGGAATCACCATGCAACAACCTGACAATGGTATTTCTATTTTCTGCAATTGCGGTTATAATCGCTCAAATGCTGCTTTGCCCAAATTCCAAACACTTATGAAAAATTTGGTTAGCCTGACAAATTGTGTGAAAGAGTACTTCAGGGAGGCAATGCACAAGATTTTATCTTTTCAGTAAATTGTTTTTCTGTACGCTACTGGCTTATTAATGTTTGAATTACTGAATGTTGTTAAATATTTGCATTTCTTTGACCCATTGCTGCATTACAATTTAGACTTCTAACTCAAACCAAATTTCAATCATAACAACTGGTTTAGAATTAGACCTCTCTAGTTCTTAACTAGAGCATACAAAATTTATTCTTTTTTAAAGTACACTTAATGCAACAGTGGGGCCAACCATTCTTTCATGAATTTTCCAAGATTATGAGACATTGATGCCAAAAAAGGTACAACAAAAATAAATACTGCCTGTTCCTATACACATTGAAAATAAGTTATATTGTATTAGTAAGCTAGTAGTGCTACAGAATGGTACACTTTCCTGTATCAGTTTTCTATTTCCTTTGGTCTCGGCTAGCTATACACACTTGCCACATACTCTTGCCAGTTGTCATCTATTGCTGCCCAAAGAAACTTTTTTTGAAATTCTCTTAATTTTTAAATTTTCTAATAGTAGAACCAATATATAATTTTAATAATAATAAAGAACGGTAAAAACCCTAAATGGCAATTTTTTTTTAAACATTTAGTGCAATTCTTATGTAAATGGTACTTTAAGCACTACTGTAAATTCGAAATTTGAAGCTCTTTTTCAGAGAAAAATTTTGAGTTCTCGAAAATCTTCATATGAAGTCATTTCAAGCACTTTCACTCAAAAATTCAATAGTGTTAACAAATTCCTGGAAATGTGCACATTAACGGCATGAGAGATCTTTCAAAAAAAATTACAGGTGTTATTTTTTAGAACAAAAAAAAGATATCCTTGAAATGAACTTTAAATCATACTAAATAGTGCAATTAGCACTATCCATTCGAAAAGTTTGACAAAAAAATTTGGAGCTTGTTTTGGAGAAAATGGCGTTTGAGCATTTCTGAAAATGTGGAATTTTGCGTTCATTTTCACAGACAGTTGAGTTTTTGAGAAACTTTGTATGATGAGTACTCATAAATATAATAACGTAAATATTAATGTAAGAGACAAGTGAAACAAATTTAATCTTTGAAATTTTTGAAAAAACAAAAGAATAGAGTAAACTGATGTTTACTCTGATTACCTCATAGAGTACATTTACCACTATCCCTACCAAAAGTTTAAAGAAAACATTTGGAGCCGTTTTTGAGAAAATCTTGTTTCTGTTATTTTAAAAATTTTCAAAAAACAGTACATGACCTTAATAAAAGAACTAATTACGAAGAACAAATTTCATTTGATGGAAAAATTTCTATCTTTTTTTTGTAGTTGTAAGAAGACATCCTAACAAATTTATACTTTTGAAATTTTTGTATATCCAGAGTTAACTGTGAAAATCAGAGCTACGTCACTATTATAAGTGTATGTTACTCTATACATACAAGAAAAATCAAGAAAAAATTTGGAGCCGTTTTTGAGAAAATGTCCAATGGGTTTCTTGTAAAGTACCCCCAAATTTTAATAAATGTTTTTCAAACTCTCAGAGATTAAACTGAAGCCAGATGGACAGTTCTTAAATTTGAAAAAAATCCTATGTATGGGTTAGGCACTAGTAGTGTTCACAGATGAACAGACGGATGTTTTGAGAAGAACCACTTTTTTGGTAGGATACCCTAAAATGTGTATTTTCTTTGAAATCTCGAAATCAACTTTCCGCAGCATTACAGAACTTTCCCTAAACTACGTATATTACTCTGTATATACATACGTATACGGGGAAGTAAAAACGTATCATCTATTTTTTATGAGAATCATTTATTGCAGATGAATTATAACATTTCGTAACTTGATTAGTTACATCATCATGTTACTAGAAAATATTTTAACTTATTTTCTTTCACCGTTTGATGCTTCTAACACCATGTAAAATCAGTTTTCACCAGAAATCACTTATGGCTTTTATTTTGTGCCCATTTGCTAAACATGTAAGAATATTTTTGTCAAAATTTGGAAATCTTTAGAATAGATTTTAAATGTTTTAACCTTTCACTTGTTAAATTCAGATTTTTCAAGTCGATTTTTATAAAACTTTTATACAATGTTTAAACTACATTAATTTTGTCTTTTAATATAGGACAGTGTTTTTCTATACATTTTCTAGTAATAATATAAATATTACCGACAATCAAGGTTTCTTTTCATCCACAACTATTATGTTAAAGCTAGCAAAATTTGCTGAAATTCCCAGAGTAGTAGAGGTGAAACCTTTCAGAAGGGTAGTAACAAGAAAAGAAAATACAAGATTTAAGGCCAAATTAATTATATTACATAATGCTAAGATTTATGTACAAGGGATGGAGATACATTTTTCTCAAATACTGTTCTTGGCACAAATTTTTTTTCTTTCAAGGTATCTACATTTGTAACATCTTTCTCTAAATTTTCTTTCAACAAACGTTCTTCTCGTTTTTCTTCAATACTTTCTTGATATGGGGTGTACTTATCAGACATCAAACCTTCGATTTTGTAGCCAATAAATCCGATAACAGCAGCCACAGGTAATGTTACGTATGGTGCATAAGTACGCAATACAACAAATAATGCTGGCAGCATTATGACAGTGATTCTGTAACATGTCCAGATAAAAAATAAAAAATGATCCAACCCACGCGATGGGCTAAGAGGTTAATGAAAGTCCATATCACAATAAAAATACCTGTCAATACACTTTAAAGTACTAAACAAATTTTCATACTTCCTGCCTAATCATTTCACACACAAATTAACCCTGACAAGTTGAAAAAATTAATTTATAACTATGGAATAAAAAATTAATATCTTGCCCGAAAAATTCACAACTACAACAACACAGCAACTGCCTCAACCAGAGGCGAGAAACAACATGCTATATCTCGTGATCAGCGTTATGCCATGCCGAAGTATAGAGTATAGCAGGGCTACCTAACTACGTGTTAATTCTCGCGACTAGCGTTAGTGCTGCGCTCGAACGGGCGGAATCCGAATTAAACTAAGTGGTGGTGGGAAGACCGTACCATGGTGGGGGTAATATTGCCACCAATTAGATGCACAGTATTTTTTTTGTACATTCCTTTTACCGTAATTTACAATTAATTCTAGGATTCAGTAGGAAATGTAGGATATACTGGCATAGAAGTGACTCAGGATAACAAACAAGTCAATAATGAAATGAAATGACAGATTTATTAAAATTAAATCGGAAAAACAATGGTAAATTTTCTAGAAGACATATACAAATTCTCCAAGTAATATAATTTGATAAATATTGATTTTGGAAATAATAGCAAAACCATAAGTTCACAACAATAGGGTAGTTACTTCAATAAATCAATATATCTTTATGAAAATACTTGATCTCAAAGTGCCTCAGGAGAGAAATCTCTTTCATCAATCAATATTGAAGTGATTACAAATCCACTTGCTATTACAAACTGAGGGGAATGAAAACTGCTTCATATCAAAAATTTATAGTATTGATATTCCAATTATGTTTAACTGTATTGTGCTTCCAAGCATTGCAAAGATATTACTTATGAAATTGCAATAAAATAACTAGTTGAACATGACAATATTGATTTCCAAAAATTAATAATATATCATTTAATTACTATCATCCGACAAACTTTACTGTCGATGACATTACAAGCAAGCAAAAAGGCAGCTCTCTATTTCACTGCTTAGCAATAGCAATTAATGTTACATATTAAGCCATGGTTTCAATACTATCTTTGAAATTCTTCCTTAGTAAGAGTGCTTCACAAAACATTTTAATGGAAAAGCAATGTAAAACAAACAATTCTTTAAAAGAATTAAAAGTTTAATACACTGTACAAATCTGAAAAATGAATAATCTTTTCATATGCACCATTATTTTTAGAATGTCAGAAGCTTGGTTGTATTACACAAAGTGCAATAGATTAATATCTAAAACAATAAGTTTGGAATGAAAGTACCTTTTTAGTTTCGTACATTAGTCTATTCTTCCTTTTCACATATATTTTACACAAAATTATCTTACTAATTTATTTGATAATTTAAATGTCTAAGCTTGAATTATTGTTGCACTAATAATTTCCAATTTTCATTGTTTATTGAATTGGAGTCTAAGAAACGAATAATGACATTTAAGTAAATTTTGAAAATATTTTTAAAATACTGTGTTCTTCTCTTCATTATTCCAACATTCCATTTCCTAGCAAATCTCAAAGAGAATGCCAAGTTATAATTTGCTTCCAGACAGTAAGTGGAGCTGAAGTAATTGTGCTTATCATTAAATGCAATTTATACAATATATTAATAAATTATAATTAAATGGCAGCAGTAATTAAATTATTAACAAAAGTTGATATAGAATGAAGTATGAATATAAAATGGATTATAGAATAAGAGGTTCACTCCATGATGAAATATACTTTATGTATGTAGCGCATTAGTTTCCGCAACCCTCACTACAAGCGTTAACATACCAGCCTATACTTCGATTTTTCTTTCTTGGCGTGCGAGGCCTTATCCTCACGATGAACTATCTCACGGTATTTTGCGTCTTTCTCAGTCGTGCCGTTAGGTGTCGCATAATCGACAGCACTGCTCGATACGGACGCGATACGGCACGACGGAGAAAGACGTGAAATACAGTGAGACATTCCATCGTGAGGACAAGCCATAAAATGCCAAGAAATAAAAACCCAAGTATAACAACCCTAAATGTATGCTCGGATGGTCGCATCGAAGGGTCCAATTTGGTTACATGTTTCTGTCATTGAAAACGATAATTTTTACTTCCTCGCTACCGTGGTAAGATTTTTTCCGGAACGAACATTCCAGATCGATCTGGCCTGCTGGATGTTCTGCAGTTTGAAAACCATTCTTTAAAATGTTGGGATATTTTAAAATGCATTTACACTGCGCGAGCGAACAAGCAATTCAGAACGAAAGTTGGTTCGTTCAGCTGGCGATTGCATGGGAGAAGTTACAAAGAGCGACCTTGGTATTTACCTCGACGTTTGTTCTGCCGGCAATGTTCGCTCGCAGTGGCCGGCAGTCCGCTCCCGACCAAGTGAGGTTATTGTGTTTATGTAGTATCCTTGCAGTACGAACAATCAACTGAATGTACTTTTCGGGGTAAAAAGATGGCGGAAATAACACAGAGTAAAAACATAATGTTATTTCCACCATAGGTAAAAGGAATAGTCGGGCGACGAAATTTGGAGCTAATCCTTTTCGTACAAAAACAAAGCTCCCTGACCAATAAATAGAATTTTATTTCTGAGAACTGGATCATGAATTGAAAAAAATGTGAAATTCATTACTTGCAAAATGTCAAATTCATACACAGGATTTTTTCCAGATATTTTTATAACAGCTAAGATTAAGCCGGTCTTCCAAAAAGGCAACAAAAATGAAATTCATAATTATCGACCAATTTCTCTTCTGTCGTTTTTTTCAAAAACTTTTAGAGATACTTTTTTTACGTACGAATGGAAAAATTTCTTAGTAAACACGGCGCGTTTCAGATTGCCAACATGGGTTTCGAAAATCAAAATCTTTAAGCCATATTTTCTTTTCTTAAACATTACAAAAATGTAATTTTTGACTTGTCTCTCGCGTTAATATTTATATTAGCGGCAATTTATTCACATTATTGTGTTCACGTATTGTATTTATGAGTACATGTGCTTTAAATAATGTTATATAGTTTCTCTGAAACTCAACCGTTTTCTGTAATAACAAGCTCAAAATTCCGCATTTTTAGAAAGCTCAAACACAGTTTTCTAAAAACGGGTCACATTTTTTCCCAATTTTTTGTATGGATAGTACAAATTGTATGTTTAAGATAACATACAAGGCATTTTGCTGTATTCATTTGTTTTTTTCAAAAATTACACAAATGAAATGTTTTTGAAAGATTCTCTCGCTGTTAATTTGCACATTTCCAGAAATTTGTCAACACTATTGTTTTTGTGAGTAAATGTGTTTCAAATGACTTCTAATGATTTTCAAAAACTCAAACATTTTCAGTAAAAATTAGCATCTAATTTCGAATTTACAGTAACGCTTAAACGCCATATTCTCATAAACGTCTCCAAATTTTTCCAAGAAAATTGCCATTTAGGGCTGGATTTTACTGTTCTTTAATATTCTTAAGGTAATATTCCCGTTAGGAAATAGGACAAATTAGGAAACAAAAAATTAAGACAATCTCAAAAGAATGTACTTTGGGCGGCGCAAGATCGCAGCTGGCAAGAGTATGTGGCAAGTCAGAAAAGCTAGCCAAGACTCAAGGAAATAGAAAACAAATACGGTAAAGTCTTTGCCTTTCTGTAGAAGCACTAGTTTATTTACTAGGGCATGGCAGTACGAGTTTTACTGACAAAAATGTGCCGTTTTCCGGCGCAATGTAATTGAACTTTTACTTTCTCGTATACGTACATATATACGGAGTAATATACATAATATAAGGGAAGGTATGCAATGATGCAATGAAAATCGATTTCGAGATTGCAACAGAAATACACTTTTGGGACCCCCTGATACCGAAAAACTGTTTTTTTCAAAACGTCCGTCTCTCCGTCTCACGCATCCAATAAAAGAGATCTCTAAAGAATGAGAGTTTTACGGAGTCGTGTCGAATAGCACTTTGACTTCAAAAATATGAAGTATTTGTTTAAGAAATGCATCTAATTATTAATGTGAAACGAAACCCGCAATACACATGCGGAATTTATAGTTCAATAACTCCTAAACGAATCGTTCTAGGACCTTAATACATTAAATTTTGAGGCCAAAATCCTAAAAGAAACGTTTCTCATTCCATTATTTACAGAAGATCTTTCTGGACATTACACTTTTGTCAATTATCGTTTCAAAGCATACGTATCTCTGTGGTAAATGCTCTTTGTCAACGTGTTGATAAGCGGCTCTATCGATCCCTGCGGTGACAAAGTAATACTAAGCTAATTAATAAAAAAAACTCGCGTAACTTTTCTTGAACAATGGATTGAAGAAATGCGAGTAGAATGGGATATTAGTTACAAAATCTGCCGCTAGTTTTTATGGAGTAATGCCAATCTCTGGAGAATCAGTCATGCCTTCGCAATTTTCTCAATAATTTGCGTTATAACTTTCTCAGGAGTTCGAGGTATCTCCTGTGATTCGTAACTTCTTTAATTTTTTTTTGAGAAAATCACGGACACACAAGTTTTCGTCTTAAACACAAAATTGGATGGGACTGGCTGCATGCAGAGCGTCTGAAAGGGCCCTTCAAACATGCTGAATCGTGGAAATGAAGAATGTAAAAGCTTTTCATATGTTGCTCAACCTCTCGTTTTTTACTGGCTTTCATTGTTATACATTCAAAACAATAACTTACATTTTTTACGTTAGTGGGCTCCGGGCTCCTGCTTGCAACTCTCCGTACCGAACTTTACAGATAAAATTAAAATAAAAACGCACGATATCGATTTACGAATTAAACATTCCCTTACATACAAATATTACTGTCCAGGACTGAAGAAAGTCGACAGAATTCCACAAAATATGTTTCATACCCCTTCTACTTTGTCTTTTTATTAGATTTGTTGTTTTTTTCTTTTTATTCGTTTTAGATATCTTATTTATCTTCGTAAGTACTTATTAACCGCGCCGTATCCAGGCGCAAGTAAGCTATACATGCCCTATTCTTTTGTTTCGGGCACACTGTAATGGTGCGAAATGTCACAGCGTCCTACGTTCACTCGCTTGGCGTCACTATGATCACTCCGTCAACACTGTTTCCGGTTGCATCGGTCACACTTCAATACGAACGCACCTCTGAGCTAAAATACTGCGAGAATCACGATTCCCATTTGTATCTAAAAGGCTAAGGAGAGAACGCGCGGATATTTTTTCGAACAATTTAAGATGTTTCTACAATTTTTCTTGTGTTTCTCATTTTTATATTCCCTGCTTTTACCATTTTAATTTTTGCCTTTGAGGGGCTTGCCCCTCCCCCCTCGATCCAACTGCCACTGTGATTATATCAGTAACACATCAAACAGCTTGAGTTAAGCACCTGCATTTGTTTTGATAAAAAAGAAGTACGTCACTTTTCTTAGCTCTTAGGGCATTTTAAAATTTTTTAAAGATGTTTTTATTGAGTCGGATGTGGTCGGTAAATTAAGATAGTTTTTCATTCAAAATGTTTTGGTCGAATGTGTCATGTTATAGATTATGTAGAACAACGAAGGCTAAACTCAGCTCATGCTGCGATACGATTTTATTTGTTTTAATGATTATCCGAAAATATTTTTACGGAGTAATGCTGCGCGAAAAAAAACAAAACAAAAACACACACACACACGTTTCAGCAGAAAATTTCTTATTACAGGGCCCTGTCAACGAAAGAGTGGATAAATCTAGTTGCTAAATTTCGAAAAAAATCCTAACACGTGGTATAGCCAGAAACCATGTTTTATAGGTCCTTGATATCGAAAAATCGAAAGATTTGTTAAACGCCTGTCTGGCCATCTGTGAACAACGCTAGAAGCTAAAACGTTCAGCGGAATTTCTCCGAAATTTATATTCTCCTATCTATCTGGCTGATTCGTGGCCTCTTGAATGTGAAACCGATATTTTAATTTTTGGGGAAACTTTACATGAAGCATGGGGAACATTTTTCGATTTTTTTAAAAAAAATGCTCCATCATTGTTTATTTTTTGTTAGATTCTGTAAAGGACGTTTAAGAGAATGGTGCAGAACTCAGGTTTGTTGAAAGCCTTGATTTTTGGAAAATTGCAAAAGTTCTCATTTTTTTCGGAGTCTTCCTACAACTAAAATATTAAAGATAGAGATATTTTCCTTAACGGAACCTCTTCCTTAAAGATAGATTTAAAAAAAAAGGTTAGTTACAAGTTTTTGAAAATTTGAGTATTTTCCGTGAAATTTCGCGTGAAATATAGGCAATTTTTAATTTCGTTAAACAATTTTTTTCTCAAGAGAGGCTCCGTAGTTTTCGATGAAATGACATTGGTGGATAGTGTGAAAGACGTTTAAGATAATGATGTTGGTCTTATTTTGGTTGAATACCCTGCATTTTTGAAAATTGAAAAAAAATTTAAATCTTTTCGGCGTCTTCCTCTTCGAAAACTTTGAAAATTTCGAAAAAGTTTTGAGAATTTCAGAACGTTTTGCGTAATTTTGCGTGAAAATACGGGCGAGAAAGTACTTGCTGTTTTAGCCCCATTAGTTACTTTGTTGTCAGTTTTACTTCATACATTTGTGAATGATAAACTATTTGTTGTTATTTTTCCGAACAAAGCACTAAGTACGAAATCCTAAAATATTTTAAATTTATTATTAACATATTTATTATAGATTTAAACAATCAATATGATTCAAATTATTTGTGTTGAAAGTTTAAACATTTTATTTGCTTTGCAATTCTAAGTATTTCGTCTTCAGACTTGTGCTCAGGTGGCGAGCAACATACCGTTAGTTGCATCAGTTCGCGCGAGGAGGCTGCGCCGATATTTTGCACTTCCCGTCGTGACTGCGATATGCAGAAAATCGCTTCCAGTAAACTCAAGCGTGAAGGGAGTGGTGAACCAACGTCGTCCACTGAACGTTAGAGTTGAAAATTCCCAATGAAAGGCTCGAGTGCCCCACCTCTTCACTCGACAAATCATTATTTTATAAACGCTCCGTCATTGCGTGCACTCAGTCATTCGCGTTTCTTTATTACGGGTCAGATTAATCTGGCCTTGTCGTCATGGAAAACATGTTTGTAGATTCATGTTGTTGAGAGGAGTGACGTAGCTCGCCTACTTCATTCTAATCTACGATTTATAGACAGTTTTGTATCCAACGGTCGTCGACCTATGCATTGGCGTCCAAGTATAATTGGCTGCGTTTCTGCGACTACCTACTGGGCGCGGGCGCTCACCGATAATGGATGCTGTGGACGTTTTCGGAATGACACCACTACACTTCGCAATATGGTATGGTTCCACTGATATGGTGGAATTTTTTAACAATTGGGTTGCGAATTGTAAAATTCGAAAGAATGCCGTAGTGACGCCCGTGGATTTGATCCTCGGGCGTACGGCGGCAAGGACACCTCTTCATCCACACTTGCAACAAATTAATGTTGCAATGGTGGTGGGGAATTTGGCGTACGCGTCCGGTAACAATGGTGTATGGACTGCAGCCGAAACAACAACCTGCGCAGCTGATTCCACCACCATCTCAGCAGGAAAATGTGCCATTGCCGCCGACATCTCTACAGCCGACGACGCCCCACATGAAGCCGAGGCAGCCACAAGCTGCTCAACAGGAGTAGGCGCATGCGGCCGCACGGTGGGCGTTGCGACGTGAACGCCTCCAGGTTGAACCGAGGCGGAGGTTCTGCAGGGAAATATTGGAAACGTTCCAAGTGGTGATGGATATTGAAGGGCAAATCGATACCCCCTTTCAGTCTCCTCCAGCTTTACCGTTTGAGGATATGCCCCCGAAGGAGCTGGAGGTAACAAACAAGATATAATGAATTATACACCAATTTAATTCTTGTCAAGATTCTCAAAAACATTAGAAAAACTCTTCAATGAAAGGTTAAAAAGCTACCTGGTACACTGTAACATTATCACTGACTCACAACATGGATGCAGGGAAAATAGATAAACTGAAACTGCTTTATTCACCTTTGTAAATCAAATCCTCAAGGCATTAGAGCAAAAAGAAATTCCTGTTGGTGTCTTCCTTGACCTGTCAAAATCCTTTGACTCAATAGACCACAGAATTTTATTGCCAAAATTAGAATCTTATGAAATCCGACAATTGCTTACAAGTGGATAAAATCATATCTAACAGACAGAAAACAAATAGTAGTGTTACCTTACCAAAAATTCAACAAAATAAAAAATCAACACTCCAAAGCAAGGGATGTGACCTATGGGGTCCCCAAGGATTCACACACGGCCCAATTTTATTTCTTGTATTTGTGAGTGAACTGCCATAAATAAATAAAAATAAAAAGATAGTACTTTTCGCTTATGACACTAATATAATATTCAAAGAAAGAACAACCAAAGCTTTACATGACAAAGTCCATTCAACCATTGACAAACTAATTCAATGGATCCACCAAAACAAACTAATCCTAAACAGAGATTAAACAATCACAAGAGAAAAGACATTTTGTTCCATGGAACAAAATATATTGGTTACATAGGGCAGTAAGTTTGTTCTTCCATTGAAGGTGCAACGGAACATCCAATTTTATGAAAAATATGTACGCCAAAAGTAATTTAAAAAATAAACAATATTATTTTCCCTTCAATGCATGTTTTTTGAACACCATTTTGCCAACAACAACTATAAATGTTTACTTCAACTTTTTTTTTTAGGATAGTGCTAAATGCACTGTTTAAGATGACATAAAAGTAATTTTGCTGTATTGTTTTGTTTTTTCCAAAAATGACCCAATTGAAATTTGTTTGAAATATCTCACACCATTAATTTGCACATTTCCAGCTATTTATATACATTATTGCATTTGCGAGTGGAAGCCCTTCAAATGATATCCAATGAAGTTTTTTGAACTCTCAAAGTTTTCTCTGAAAAAGAGCTTCAAATATTGCATTGACAGTAACACTTAAACATTTCATTAAAAATGGCTCTAAATTTTTCAACTAAAATTGCCATATAAGGCGAGCTCTACTCTTTTTTAATATTCTTGAAGTAATATTTTGATTTGAAACAAATTAAACAGAAAATGATTCTACCATTAGAAAACCAAAAAATTTAGAGGGGGGAGTACTTTGGGCAGAGATAGATAGATCTGGCAAGAGGATGGGGCAAGACTGTAAAGCTAGCACAGACCACAGAAATTAGTAAACTGGAACTAGTACAAGAAAGCCAGTGCCATTCTGTAGCACCACTAGTTAATTAAGTAAAACATATAGTGGTCTGGCTATGTGTAAATAAGGTAGTGAGGAGTGGTCAATTCATGTGCCAAGGGGGGCGGGGGGCAGGGAGCTTTTTTAAAACGGCTAAATTTGCATATCGAATTTTGTTAATAGACTTTAAATATAATTGAGAAACTCATTTTGTTATTTCTTGATATGTGGTCTCCTTTTATTTTTTAAATAAACTAATAAATTTGAGACAGAAATAATGTAGTGAATAGGGTCCATGGTGAGAGTGATATGAAGACAAAATAATGATTAACAATAGAGAATTTTTCACCAGGTAATATAAAATAGTGGGTGTTTTATTTTGTCTTCGGAATACAGTACATTATCATATGCACTTTTCATTATCAGTAAAATCTTGCTCTTTGTAAAAGTCATCTTTTATATTTACAGTAAGTAACATTCATTATACTTACAAATAATTCAATTTACTATGAATACTGAACATCAATATCAAAACTATTTTCTTTACAGATCATTCTTTATAAATATCAATATATTACACTCTCAAGAAACCTTGTATTTTCACATCTAATCAATCTACAATATATATGATACAAGGAATACTTTTAACTAACAATGGCAACAGTAGTTTCAAAACTTGTATTCTGAAGCATGCCTCAATACAGTCATAGGTATACTGTGAACTCACAGAATAAGTATTACTTTGTGGATTTCTTTGCAACCTGACATAGTGTATGCTTTCTCAATTTCCACTGTCAGTTCTTTTTGTAAGAATCACAAATAAGAATGGTTTCAAATGAATAATCACAGATACATTGTTACAATCTACAGTGTTGAAATAAAATAACATTTAGAAATGTCAATATGTACAGTTTATGCTATGGCTCAAAATTATTTCTTTATTTCTTAAAGAAGCACTGCTGTGACTTATGTCATTATTATACAGAAAACAAACTAAACACTTCATTCACAGCCCCGTGGAAATTCTATAAATATAACACATCTCAAAATTTTGAACTATCTTGACAACAAAGTAGTTTTAGTTTGACTAATTGAGGACAGTGTTTGAGATTCATTTTGATTATTGGAATTTGCCCCATCTACTAAACATGGGTTGGCAATAACAGATGAACTTTCATCTACAGCAGTTTTCACTGTTCGCAAACTATCAGAACTTGCATGGCGAGAGAGTTGGGCTCGTAGAGGACGAATTGTTTTAAGTTTTGTTGTGCCACCATAAGTGAAATTTACACCCAGACAGGTGTCCAAAGGATGTATATGATCAGATGATTCAGTGGAAATTACTATATCTCCTCTTTCTTTTACAATATTTTCATTATTATAATTACTATTTATTGCTAATTCAAATGCACTTTGAGAAGATTTTAATTTTGCACTTGGCAAGGGAACTGATTTTGAACTTGCTTTATCGAGACACCCTTCATTTCTTGCAGTACTGTCTGGTGTTACTTTACCATTTACATCACTTTTTGCTGATAACTTGGCAATTCCTTGATTGCTGTTTTTTTTTGCATCAATTGATATTACAGTTTCATTTTCTGATTTATTTTCACTTAATTTTGGGGTTTTGCTGTTGTTATGAGAATTGCCAAAGAAAGATGACATACTGTTTAATTTAGCTGACAGGTTAGGAGAACTGAGGGTTGATTTCAATGGATGTGAAGTTCTTCGAGCTTGTTTTCCACCTATAGTAACAGATCCATTATCTCCATTTCCATTAGTAACTGGTACATCACTTAATGCATAATTTTTTTGACCATATACCTCCCCTGAGTCAATAACCTTCAAGGGAATACCTTTTGTATTATTTGGATTTAAAACATTTTGTCTGTTGATAAGACTGTTGCGTCTCTGTTCTACTACAGATAAATGAGTCAGCAAGCGTCTCACATCTCCCGGGATGTCTATATCTGTTCTTGATTCTGCAAGACTTGATATGAAATTACCCATAGCCACAATACTAACTTCCAGACTCCTTATTTGAGATTCAAGGCGATTAATAGAAGCTTGCTGAGCAGTACGAGTTGTCTCCAAGCGGTGAATGTTGCTTGTTGCAATCTGCGATCATATGAAAATAATACACATTTTAAAAATTTAAGAGAAGGATTACCTGTGCTATGCATTTGCAATTAATTTTTTTTGTTCATGCCCTTAAATATTAAAAATATTTTGGAAATCTAGTTTTGAAAAACTCAAGAGTAAAATAGTTTTGTTATAAAAATTATAAAATGGAAATTCTGAGGCTATTTAAACAACTGCTGAATTAGCATGCCTCTAATCCTGCAGTAAAGATTTTCAAAAAAAGGAGTATAATATTTGTATATAAGCATAATTACACTCATCACTCATGCTTGAAGCAGGACAAGAGAGTGTAGGTTACAAACAGTCAAGAAAACAAAACTGTTGAGAACATGGGACAATGACTTGAAGAGATAGTTGATCAAAAGAAAAAAGGATATAGATCTTACTTTCAGAAAAGAACAGTGAAACATTACATTGAATATAAAAAACTAAGAGCCAAAGTAAGATGTATAGGCAGAATACACAGATGAGAAGACTGGAGAAAATTTATCAAAAGTATAGAAAGAGGCTCTGCTCCCAACGAATGGTATTCAAAATTTTGAAAATGCTGCACATGAACATGAAAGACAAAATCACACTAGACTGCGTCCCTGAAGAGAAGTGGATGAAACACTACTCCACCCTATGGAACAATCTAGATCCTAGAACAAAAAGATGACAATAGTGACAATGAGGATATGGCTACCCCCTTGAATACTGAAGAACTAGAGACAGAATTAAAGAAATCAAAAAATAGGATCCCCAGATCAGATGAATCATCCTACAACTTATAAAATATGGAAGAAATTAACTAAAAGAAACATTACTAGAATGTTTTAACAAAGTATGGCAAGAGGGGAAAATACCAATAGAATGATAAGAGGGTTTGGTCATGAATATTCACAAAAAGGGCTCAAGGAAGAGCTGTTTCAACTACAGGGGCATCATATTATTATCAACAGCATCAAAACGTTATGCAAACATGTTGAGAAACAAACTCAATGTAATAGCTGAGAATTTCATGGGTGAAGAACAGTGTGGGTTCTGAAAGGGAAGGAGCACTAAAGATGCCATCTTCACATTACAGATGATAATAGACAAAAGACGAGACAGAAACTTACTAACTTGTAAAATATTCATAGATAATGAAAAGGCACATAACAGAGTAAACAGACAAACTCTGGGAAATTAGGAATAGGAGAAAATTTCAAATCAATTACTCAATGCGACTCACTTGAAAAACTTCTAATTAAAAAGAGTGACAAAGGTAAAAACAAATATTTCTTTTTTTAACATAAAATGTATAAATGAAAATGGGACATAGCTTGCAGCCAATGATTATGGTATATTGGCAAATAAATATTTACTCGTGCTGGGATATGAGCCAGAGCACAGTGAGAACCACATGTACATGCATTTCAAATGAAAATTACGTGAAAACTTCTGGCAATTTCAAGAAAACATTTGGAAAAAAAAAGAAAAAGAGAGAGAGAGAGAGAGAGAGAGAGAGGCCATATCTGACAAAATTTCAAAACTGCTTCTCACTTATTAAGTTCTGTAATATTAAAATACTACAATTACTAGCAAAACACACTGTATATTTGAAAATTGTGAACGATAAATTAACATGGCAATAGTACAATATTCATTAAATTGAGATTTTCTGATAAATGAATTAAAAAAAAAAATAGTTCTTTAAAAAAAGTACTGTACAATTTAAAAAAAATAAGAATAGTTAAACTGTAATTTTGCAATTTTGTAATTTTTCCTTTCACAATTTGCTAATCTTTCTTGAGATATCAGATTGCAATGCAGCAATGACAATGCCATACTGCAACACAGCAGGTAGTTTGAAGTTCTGAGAATTCCTTCTCATAGTAGGGAAATGTTATGGCTTTATGAAATGCAGTTTTAATTGTTAAATTTGTGTTAATGTATCAGCTTGAAAAAGAATTTGTTTTTACACCAATATTCTACGATATGCAATTAGTTTTACAAGTGATGACTGAAATATGTTAATTTAGGACAGAAACTGTGGTAATATAGTATTATGTAACCCTCACTAAGTGCGAGAAAGTACATACTGTTGTAATACTACTAGTTTCTAGTTGCAAATGAATTTGCTAGAAGGCTGAAGATGCAAGGAAAAATTTATAATGAAATTTCAGGTTGCACAAAACTGGATTTTGGATCAACAAAACAACCAATAAAAAAAAGTATTTCAATATTGGAGAATTTACCTCCAATTGTTCTGATAATGAATGGTTTTGTTGAGTTAGTAATTTATTGGCTTCTTCTAATCTGTGTAAATCTTCATACTCCGGCCTTGGAGAAGCCATTTCTTCTTGTAAAACATGATATTCAACTTCATATTCATGTAATTGTTTGGTAATATCCATGGTAAATACCTGAAATTAAATTAAATTTTAGGACATGTTTGAATACATCATTTTTATATGGAGAGAAAAGAAACAAAAACAACAACACACAATCAACCAACCAACCATAAACAAAATACAAACCTGCTTCATTATTTTATCAAGAATACACTTGTCCACCTTTGGAATTCGGGTCTTTAAATAATCCATAATTTCCTCAAAATTCTCACAAGACAAAAGACCTTCTTTATGTTCACTTAGCAGTGCCAATGCTACACGAAATATTACTTCAGGACTCTCAAGAAATATCAAATCTGAAATTTATTCAAGCTCTGATTAGTAACAAATTAATAAAATAATAGAAAGGAAATTTATAAGTGCAAAATAATTCTACTCACCAAAAACACGCGTCACAAATCCAAGAGGGAATTGAGATGCAAAAACAGTGAGTATCCAAGGAGCTGCATACAGTGTAGGAGCAATTTCATGAATATCAAAATGCATATATAAATCAGGATGCTGGTCATGCAACAGACGTGACAACTGATAAAGTTGCACTTGCAATGCCGCCATATCTGGTAGGTATTGGCGTCTAAGCCCTCGACGAAACATAAGGTGTTTCAGCAAGAAGAAAGCACTATCTTCTGGCATATGCAACAAAAGAACTCCAGCAACAAAGTTCAGACCCTGACAGTAGCCAACTTCAGGATCTAATAATGAATATGCCTTCAAGAGATTGAATAATGCCAACTGTCCTGGTCCCAAAGGAGATGCAAAGTAAGTATGACCAGGAAATGTACGGCCTAAGTCCACCAAAATATTGTGAGGATGTGATGTTAACTGTTTTAATAATGTTTCATAAGGCACATTGAAGTTTGGGAATTCTAATGTATCAATAGGAGGCATCTTAAGACAATGTTGTTCAGCAAGAAACTGCCATACATCACCACGTTTACTGCGAGGAACACCTAAATAAATCACACAATAAAGTAAATAGATGTTCAATAACCATATAAATGTATATTACAGATAAATATTTCTACACAAAATGAGCATCAATGGGCATGATTTTTTCATTTTCTTTGTAAATATTTGGGAACAATTTACAATATCATGACCAATTTANTTTTTTTTTTTTTTTTTAGATTTTTACTATAAAATTCTATTTTCCACTTATAAATAAACACAAAAACTACTCTCATACTATAATCTGGTACTAGATTAAGTATATACATTTTTAAGAAAAATTACATTTAAAATGGATTTTATGAATTACGAAATTGATTGAACCATATAATTAATAAATAGAACAAGCTAAATAAAAACTAGCAGAATTTATAAATTAATACCTTGTTTTATAGCTTGTAGAAGCATTTGAGAGTCGCATTTTGCTGTGATTCGACTTTCTTTGCTGATAAGTAAATCCCAAACCTCTACAACTTCTCTCATGCAGGGACTGATTTCTTCATATTCTAATTTGATACGCTTCACAGTAGCTTCTTCTTGTCGTGCCCTCAGCCTAGCATTTTCCTTTTCCATTCGAATTAATAACAGTTGTTGATTAATTGCTTTTTTCCAGAGGGCACGTAATTCACTGCGATCACGCTTATTTCTTTCTTTCTTCCGGCCTTGAGTTGAAGCTGATTCTGAAATAATAGTATTTTTGATTTCTTTTGAACATCTAAGCATGAAATTGGCCAATGACATAAATATTGTTAATCATTAATTAAAATTTAATAAATGTCATGAAATATGTGGACAAAGATCTACAATTATAACAAAAATGAGGAATAAAATGTTATTCTAGTGTTAGATATTTTGTGCCAATAATTAAAAGAAGATTCTGATATCCTTATTTAAGAACTTTAAAATCTTTGATTCCTGACACTAGGCTTTATAAAGGCTAATATAAATCATTAGTTAAGACAGAAAGTCAAGTAGATAATATAAAACAATTGAATCACTAGACCTTGGAATTAGGCACAAACAAGTGATGATTTATGCACTTACAATAGGTAACAAAATTATGAAATTAGGCACTTTTAGGCACAAAAAGTGACATTTTAAGCACTTATAATACATTACAAAATTATTAAAACAGGTTAGTCAGGAAAAGTTATGTTTCTGAAATCTAAAATTCACTAAATCATCTCTGTCATTACTTTTTGCAATGAGAAAGCAAGAGGAGGGAAGAAGCAAAAAGAAAGATATTAATCCTACATACTAAAAATAATTACATTTTTGGAAATTTACCTGATTTGCTTGGTGTCACAACTCTATTGAAAATAGCTTGTCTCCAAGAACCAGTCTGTCGTACAATATCATGGTTTTCTTGAGTAGGAGAAGTTTTAGGAGTGTTACCAACTTTAAAAAATCTGAAATTATTATTAAATTCAATATTATCAAAGAAAAATAAAATAATTTTATTTTATAACAGGAATATAGTGAAGAAAGCAAAATCTTCGTTTGAACATACATGTTCATCATAGGGCTGGATTTTTGATGTACCAGCTGAGGTCCATTAGGAGGAGAAGCTGGAATCTGTTGCTGAGGAACACCCGGAGATAAGCCAACAATATTGTGTTTGGACTGCAGTTCTTTTTTCATAGTTTCACCGGTTGCAGTGCCCACTGTAGATGACCTTCGCCGCATACCAGTTTCTCCATTTTCCACCTGCTCTGTGCCAGGAGAGGGACTCGGAGATGCTCGAGCAGTAGGACTATGACTGCCAGGAGAGGATGAGTCCTGAAATTGCAACAGATAAATATATGACAGAGAGGCATGGACACTGAGAGAGGAGAAACGGCCGCAGCTGTAGAGCAACTCCGTGTGTATATATATGTTATAGTTGTATGTGTATGTTGTATAGTTGTATGTTTTCTCCACATTAAAACAACATTTAAGGAGACAATATAACAATAAGTAAATAGTATTTAGAATATCTATACAACCAATGTAAATGTAATTATTATTGAGTACAGATTATAACGATGATCAGATAATAAACTAGTGGTGCTAGCACATGCTCTTGCATTATTTGCACCTTTGGCAATTTTTGAAAATTCACTGATTAATGAAAATTGGACCTAGACCACTTCTACTGAATTTCTCAAAAATACAAAGTAGAAAAAAGGTATAGGAAGGATAAATTGTAAGTTCAATGTGTTGGTGTTTCATTTATATTTTAGTTTGTTCATTTTTAGTACATTGGTTGAGCCAAATATAATATATTTAAACCACAATAATTTATAAACTTGCACATTCTGTTTATTGGGTTATTCATGTATATAAATAATTTTTCATAATAAAAAATCTGATCCTCAAAATTTAGAATCTTAAAAGTCAATTGTTCCAATACATAGCAACTATTGACATTACCTTTACGTTTTATAGATAAAAATATAATATTATACTTTCTATCTTGCAGAAACCATCCTGAAAAATTTTCGTCACGCAGTTTGAATGCGATTCACAAGTACAATGTCAAAAAATAGAGACCATATACTTAAAACATACGTCAATATCGATCAAACTGAAGAAAGGTGACCACTTCTTTCCTGAAAAAATTTTCCCATCTTTTCCTGGTATTCCAAAGCATTTTAAGAATATTTCACTGATGAAATTTGGAAAGTATTTCACAATTTTGGAGGAAAATATTAAAGCAAGCCTTTGAACTAATTTGTCATACTACTTTTTACAAATAACATCTAGTACTCAGGACCCTGATATTTACGAAGCGTCATTTTTTTCTTTGCGTTATTTCCATGGAAAATATAACTTGGGCATGATTTTATCTACAATAATTAAAATTATACAATTTTCATATTTGCATCATATGCAGTCATTTTGCCCTTTTTTAAACTCTTTTGTCATTTTCTGTTAGATTTTCATATTATGGTCATATGTTTCAATGAATTTTCATATTTTTTGTCATTTTTTATAATTTTGATTCCATTTTTGCATATTTGCTTGCAGTCGTTTTAAAAAGGATTTTCAGTCTTCTAATTGTTATCTAATTTATTTCAGTTGTATCTAATTGTTGTCTGTCCTTCCTATAATGTATACGTTTGTAAATTAAGAGCATAAGCTTTCTAGGAGAAAAAGAAAGCATGGAAAGTACCAGTTGTGAAGGAGGAGATGGTTTACTTTTGTGCAAAGGTCACTCAGATTTTGTGCAAAGGTCAACTGCTTCTGTAAATAACTTTTACAGATAGAATTGTCTTCAGGGGGTGCCAAAGAAGAAGAGGTGAATTGTATATATACTAGATTTTAAAAGTATATTTTCAAGATAATGCTTATTAAAACAGCGGCAATATTTTGAATGTTTCGTAAATGCAACCATTTTTTGGGTCATATTTATGGTCATATTTTTGTATATTTTAGGTCATAAATGCTTGCATATTTCTAACATTTTATGTCCTAAACATCCGGGTCCTATTATAACCATCTCAAAAATTCTTCCTCACTTCTAACAATTCTTCTACAAATTCCCTAATTTTCTCCAGTCTTTTCCACAGAAATGAAATTCCCTAATACTTCTATTATCTCTGCTTTCCAGAAAGCGGTCACCTTGCTAAGAGATCTATACATTTTTTTTAATATTGTTACTGATCTCATCTTTTGGCAAGTATATTTTACAACTCTTTATAAGATTGACTTACTAAAAATATTGATAAAATAGAGTTATAGTATTTATAAAATTGTAAAATAATATTTACATTGATTTTAGCAAGGCTTTTGACTCTGTCAATCATGAGATCTTGCTTTACAAGCTGGAACGTTTTGGTATTTATAGTCCTTATTGTAATGGTTTCATAACTACCTTCAGAATCGTGTGCAGTTTGTTTTGTACAAATACATTATATCCGATCCCATTAAAGCTACTTCAAGTAGATCACATTTGGGGGTTACATTTTGTTTATTTTATTTATTGCTGATATGAAATTAATTTTTAAAGATCTGGAAGTATTACGCTTTGCAGACGACTTGAAGATTTTTGTTAATATTAAATTTTATTCAGATAAAAATCTCTTGATATTTTCAGAACAAGTATTACACATTTCTGCTCACATCATGCCATCCTCACTTCCTCTCAAAAAATTGAATTTTTTGCATCCCAAAATAAAAATTCCGCCAATCTCTATGTTTCATCATTCAGCCAACTTGGTGTGATTTATTTCAAAGATAAAGATTCAGGTTTTGGCATCTCAAGTAATCATTTGAAAGATGTTTTTAAATGAGTTTTTAACTCAATAAAAACACAAAATAAAAATTGTTACACCTTATGCAAATTTTGGATTTTACATCTCGTCGCATTTAATTCTCTAATTTACTGCTCCACAAGTAGCCAGTTATAGAGGCAGAAAAACATTTATCCCTTTCTGAGTAGTAATTATTTAAGCTTTAAGATATATTATTGACTGTTGAAGTTAAATGAAACTTTTCAAAAGTCACTGCAACAGTACCTCAGTAATGATCAAACTAAAGATTAATACCTTACAAAGAGCTGCATTGATTGGAAGGCTCAACTCCTTTACAATTGGCCCAAAATCATCTCGGGAACCTTTTCTTTTGAGCAATTGGTCAAAAGAACTTGTCAACGACCTCTTTGCTTTCATGAAAATTGTACTTCCTCCCAGATACTGATTCAAAAATTCATGCCTGAAAATAAAAATCGTCATTTACACACTTCATTTTATAAGCATAAACTCAATTTCTAGAACATCTCAGACCAAATCATGAATACATAGTGTCCAATATGAAGTCATTGTAAAAGTTTTCAATGTGAAATCATTGGAAGTGGTTTGCAAGCACGGAAACCTCTTCCTGACAAACTTCTAGCATTGCTTCTGAACGTAATTGTAGCTCCACTATGCACACATTTTGTTGAGCTCAATTTTTCCTACTTGTGGCACGGGTAAAACTGGGGGTGTGGATTGCTATTTTGTTAGCAATACTATAAAATAAAAGCTGCAATTTGTGTACAAGTAAATTTTGTAAGTTTTGGGAGTGAAAATGTCTGGCTTTCAAATATTGCTAACCTCATTGTTTCTACTTTGTTTACTTTTACTTTTTACTATTACTTTGTTGGTACTTTTATTCATCATTCAACTAAGTCTAGTAAGAGGGTGGTGGAAGAAATTCTGGAGCTCAAGGATATACATGCAGATTATACTTTTCCCCCATATGTCACACACAGATTTTTATTTTTAACGAGTAATAAATCAAATCAAATTCAAAATCTTATGTCAGTTTTACCCATTATTGTAAATTCACACTGATTGTTAATCACCTTGACAATGATGCGAAACTACCAAGTTTTCTATTACTTTAAACATTGTGAATACTACTCTATCATTTAGCTTAATAGCATCAACTGTTATTTTTATTTTGACAAAGACAACACTGATGTTAATGTATACTTTTTTGTGACTATTTATATATTTCAATGTATCATTTTGTTTGAAAGAAACTGGTTTTTGCCAGTGCTTATCCTAGGTACTCATTGAAGCTTATTGGCTTTATCAGAGAAAATAAGTTTCACAAACATTATAAACAAACTAATAGATTCAACTCATGTTAAATTTTCAGCCTTGCAATCCACAGTTTCTAGTTTATAACACATTCTTTACCACTCTTAAGTGTATAAAATAGAACTATCCAATTCTATTGGCTCTAAATATTTTTGATAGTTAATAAGTCAACTAGGCACACTCCGATACCTAGAGATTTGCATCTTGGTACGAACTGCTGCAGTGCTTATTCACAAATTGCCACCATCTTTTCTACTCATTTTTTAAATCTAGATACCATACACAACATAAATAACATTCCCACTACTAACTCAAACTATCAACATCATTCTATGATCAACAAAGTCACAATCACAATATCTAATTAGTTAGTTACTCTTCAGTCATTTGAACTTTAGAAAGAGCAGTATACCAGATGAGATCCCCATGTTTAGACAACACAATAATAGATCTACCGCAACTAAGCTAGCTATATCTTTAAAGCTTTTGAATCAGGTTCTCAAGTCAATGCCTTATACATGGATTTTGCCAAGGCTTTTGACCATGTTAATCACGACATACTTTAACGACAAGTTGTTATACTTGGGCATCAACAATTCATTCCTGTCATGGATGTGCTCCTATATTTCCAGCAGAAGCCAGTAAGTTGTAGTTAATGGTCATGCATCCAAGTCATTTGTAGATAATCCTGGTGTACCCCAAGGCTATCACTGGATTTGATTGTTTAATATTTTCATTAATGTGTCTGTTATTAAATTAGTAAAATCTTGCAGTTGTTTATAATCCAGATAATGCCAGGTTTACCAATGTTAACAATGCCTAAAATTTACAAGAGGATCTCCCTGCCTTCTCACACTGGTGTTCTACAAACAAAATGAAACTTCACACAGATAATAATGAAGACATAATGTCATTGGTTCAGACATAATGTTGTGAACTACCAGTATTCATTAAATGAGGAATCTGTGAACACTGTCTCTAACATTTGAGATCTTGGTGTGATTCTTGATTAAACTTGATTTTAATGTACATATTACTGCTGCTGTGAATAAAGCATTGTGTACAAAGTCTGATTTTGTGCAACACAAAATCCTTCCAGTCCATTGATTGCTTATTAATTCTTTATAAAACTATGATTCACCCAATGTTGGAATACACCTGTTATTTGATTACCCTACAGTAAATTGGTCTGATGAGCTCAACAAAATCAAACAAAACAAAACAAATCACACAATGTAATTGCCGAAAACTTCTTTTACTCACTGATCAAAAGTGTATCAATCATTGTTAATCCTATGAACTACTGTATTTACTACTTCTAAATGTAATTCACTTACGTTCTTTTTAGAAATTAGCTTTTTTGTATTTTTATTATTCACATTTTGGCTGTGTGACATATTTACTTTGTATAATTGTTTGTAATATTAAGGGTATGTCTTGTAAATAAATAAATAAATAAATGAATAAACAAACAAACAAGTAAATTATTGCTTTGCAGAATGATCTTTCTTTAGATTCTCCTGTCTAGTTAATGTCTCTCCTCTCCAATCGTACTCTTCTGTCTCTCTACATTATGTGTTAGCATCTAGCATGTCTAATCTTTAAGATGTTTATTGACTGCTGATGAATCTCATTAGATTGCAATAAAGTATATGTGTGCAGTAAAATGCTACATGAAAGGTCATTATAATCATTGAATACATGTATATAATAACTGAATACATTCAATAAATTATCTTTTATGAAGATTTGAAGTTGAGAAAATTAAAAAATTACAGAACTGTAATTTACTTTCAAATTGTTTTATCAAAAATATTTTATTTTGCAACCTAAATGGGAAAAATCCAAAACTACAGAGTACACATAATTTATTTACATGCTCACACACAAAATTTACCTGTTTTCTGCAGTGTCATGGACATGACGAGCTTGTTTGCTTTCACAATGGGCTCGTAAAAGCATCATTAGGAATTCATTTTGTTCACGAGAGGAATTTGTTTCTGCACCTCTAAATTTTGTTAAGATTGTCGATTGCTCTTCTTCAGGAAGAAGTTCCAAGCGTCGGAATATAGCCATAGTAGTCTTCTTCTCATTCAGTCCTATTCAATGCAAGTAATTTGTTCACGATATTGGCAGAGTCAAAAGACATGTAAATAAAAAACAACATATGAAGAAAATCTCTATCTATTTTCATATGCTAATTTATTAGTACATATATCTATAATTTGTATATTTTTTTAGCTTTTGTGCAATATAGCAAAAATACATTACTACATATTATTAACTCGCAATGTTTTACAATACAATGTTAGTCATGAATAATGTTAATGATACTGCACCATCTCATTACCTTCAATTTCAGTACATAATCTATGGTACCAGACCATTGGACAGTGTTCGCATGAAAATACTGGCACTTTCTCTCGCCTCTGAGCCTCAGAAGTAGCAAGAAATGCTTGAGTAATTGCTGGAAAACAAACATGAAAATAAAGAAACTTTTTCTTTAATTAAAAGCATGCTAAACTGATTAGTTGAATGAGATTTAAAAATTAATTACAGCTATGAATAACAGTTACTATATTTTGTATCAATCTCACCTGCAACAACATCATCTGCCACAGACTCTGACTGACATTTGAATACATATGCAATGTAACTTTCTACATTACTTTCTCGACAAATGAATCCAAAATGATCTGCTTGTTGGATACCCTGTTATGATTTATTTGAAAACAAAATTTAAATGTTTAAGAACAGGCTTTTACAAATAAAAATAAATAAATAAATAAAAGATGATGAATGTTTTACCTGTATGCAACTTGCAACATCCTTTAAGTGCTTGTGAAGAAGGATCTGCTTACGGTCTGGGCTAATTAAATGAAGGTCAGTACGCCCTACTTGAAATAGCATTATGCGATTATGATCTGCACTGTTCTATTAACACAAAAAGCCCATATTATTCACTCAACTCATCTAATGATATAATGCATTTACTAAAAAATGTGCACTTACTGAAGAATCTGATTTTTTAAACTCTTTTGCACTACCTGTTGATGCAGCTCGGTTTCTCATTGGTTCTAGCTGTATAGACCTGAGAACAAAACAACTTATTCATGGACAGCGAATCAACACCAAAACAAAGGTATTAATGAAGAGTTTCAGGAGCTACTGACGACTGTTTGGTCACTTGCGAATCCTGTATTGGAGACTGAGGTCGTGGTTCCAATGTCTGTAGTTGATTTTGTACACCACCCTGAACAATGGTTTCCACAGGTATATCTGAAGTGTTGTTGGTACATTTATTGTCGGTGTTAATACTATCTATGCAACCACTGTCTTCATTTCCTAGAGTGCTTTGTCTATCGGAAGTAATAATTTCTGTTGGTAATAACACGGTACGAGTTGAATTATTGTTTTCTTCCACAGGGCTGTTTGAATCCTGAAAAAGATAATCACTAAAAACATGCTCATACTTATTTGATTTTATTCACACAACAAAAAAATTTAAATTAAGAACTATAATGTCGTAATGTACCTCAGAGTCCCTACGAATACTATTGTCTCTTTCTAATGTAATGATTATTTTTTGTCCAGACTCTGTACAGCTACTGCTGGAATGAAGATTATTGGCATTCTGATGGTTTATCTTCTGTTCTGAACCATTGGCAAGAGAGGAACATTTAGATATTTTTCCTTTGCCTTTCTCCAATTCATGTGCTCGAAATTTTTCAAGGGCATCGTCTATAAATGTGTCAGGCACTTTTTTATGAGATACTTTAATTTTTCCAATGTACAACACCTGTAAAAAAATCAAGTAAAAAGAAATCATTGATGGAACTTATTACTAGCTGAATTAATTCAGTGTTGCCAGGTTATTCACTCACTACCATCGTACATTAGAAAGGAAAGAAATAGATTTTATAAATAGAGAACAAATTGTAATAATTTTATTCATATGGCCGGTCCTTACGCCCCTTCTCGCTCTGACCCCGCCACGATCTCCCCTCCCTTCTCCCCGTCAAGCCTGGCTCTGACATGCCATCATGCATCGCCGGGTCCCGCCTCGCAATCCGTAATACCTAAATGGATTAATGATGGACAAAAATTTAACAGACGCTTATAAAGATGTTGCAGAAAGATGTGGGTGTGCACTTTCTTGAATTTTACGGCTCGTTTTAAACTTCGACCATAAGTTACGCAGTGCCTAATAGCGCTATTGAAATGAATCAATATGAATTAGTAAGAAATTATTAGGACCTTCAAAAAAACAATAGTATTAACTTTGCCCGTTTTCTTCAGTTTTCCATATTTACGCTCACAACTGCAAGTGCTCATCTTAATTCTAAGAGTGTGAAGTTGGGGTAGTTTTCAAAATGTCATTTACACAATGACTTTCCCTTGTTTTGCAAGCCAAGTTGGTCCAATTTCATCAATATCAGAATAAAACTGATGTTCAAACCACTTCGTGTGCAGACTTATTGCAGAACATTTAGTAGATTACGAGTCGGAACTTTGTAGGAGACCTCATGTGAGGTGCTTTATCCGAGATTTGGAGTCGGCGTCGCAAGCTCAGAAAATCGCCTTTAGTACACGCCGTTGTCGCAGTGAAGTCGCGATTTTGCGCATCTCTGTTAAAGACCTTGATCCGAATCCGTCTGAAAAGGCGTGCCGAACTGATTATTAATCTCTTGAATTGCGATTACCAAAAAATCAGGTTCCGTGAACTAATTGAACCTGCCATCCTCAATGAAAGACTCTGTAATGGCGAGTACACGTCAAAAGATTTTCGTGTGACAAAAGAGGGTGGAGGTCGTTACCTGTGGACGTCAGGGCTCACTACCTGACTCAGGCGACTGCCGTTTTTGGATGCCGCCCCTCCTGCCCTGGGACGCCGGAGTCAACAGCTGACGGGTCACCAATCTCGTGGAGGCAACGGAGGCCGCATGTGGTGAATTTTACGCCGAGAACCGAACAAGGTTCCAAGTACGCCTTTCGGACGTGGCGTATTAAACTCTTGGCTAGCTCCAGAGGGAGATTTACATTTGATATGGCCGCGCCTTGGCCCATCCTAAAGTTTATAATTAATGATAAAACTAATTATAATAATTCTCAATTTACCAATCAACTCAGAAAAATATATTAAAGAGCTTTAATGTATTTTCAGTTCGTTCCATTAAATATTGTTCAATGGTTCACACAACTTTTCTTAATTTTAACAACGCCCATATTTTCATCCATCGAAAGATATCTAGTACGAACCAGAGCTGGCCAGAGCACCATCATAATTAAAATTAAAAGAACGACTGGGTCGGGACAACTGGCGCCTAAGCCAAAAATCTGGTACAACCATGAGTATTGTAATAGAGAAATCGGAACCAATCAGAATACGGCGCTCCGGTCTGAAAGGACAACCAGAATAAGGAAAGGAATAAGACAACCAGAGTCTGGTGCAGTTGTTAGATAGGTTACTGCTTCTACAATGGCAGGTTATCACGATATAAGTGAGTTTGAACGTAGTGTTATAGTCGGCGCAAAAGAGATGAGGCATAGCATCTCCGAGATTGCTTTGGAGTGGCTGCAGGAACACTCTTACGAATTTAAACACTTCCACTGGCCACCAAAATCACCAGATGTACATCACTCAATAGAGTACATCTGAGATGCCTTGCAACGTGCTGTTCAGAAGAGATCTCCACCCCTCGTACTCTTACGAGTTCGTGGACAGCCCTGCAGGAATCATGGTGTCAATTACCTCCTCCATACTTAAGACATTAGTCCACTGCTATGTCGTGTCGTGGCACTTCCACGTTATTGCGAGGGCCCTATATATATATATATATTATTATATATTATATATATATATATTATATATATATATATATATATATAGTATGCAATGTCTAGTAATTAAAACCAAAAGTTCAATCAAAATAACGCGACTATTTAGTGCACAGATCTCAACAGAAAGTTTAAAGAAAACAAAAACTACCAAGTCTTCACGATGTTATTGTTCTAAATCAACGTCTGTAACTGACCTAACGTCTAGATTTTGAACGATCCCTAAATAAATTGGCAGGAGAGGTTGTCGCTTGACGGTAGTTTTTGGAAGCTCATCCATGCCTCACCTCGAAGAAATGCGAAGAGCAGGGCGAGATGTCCGCGGGTAAGGCAGTGAGCGTCGCGGCGCAGCTGGTGAGCGGCCGGGCCCCGCTGGGGCCTGCCGGTCCCCGCCGCCCCATCCCCCGCCGGCCCGCCGCCCCCGCGCCGGCCGCCACGCTCGCGCCGCCCGCAGCCGCTGCCGCCGCCGTTGCGGCCGCGGAGTCCTCACGCGCCTGTTCGTGGCGCATGGCTTGGAATAGTTCCACCACCTGCCGACAGAAAGACAAGGATTGGTAACACGACAGACAAACTGATAGTTTGATGTACTGCAAAAAGGAAGAATGTTCATTTTGTTAAAGCATATAAAATATAGTCTCTAATTTAACTGTTAAAATACTATTTAAGTGTTGAAAATATAAAACAGGACGGTATAAATAGGGTGACTATGAAAACAGTCAATACATTATACGCATTCTTGGCACGATACAGAAGTAACATTAACAGAACATTATCATTGCCATTAACATTATCATAGTTAATACTACGAGTGCTTTGGAAATTATCGATAAATTCCCCACTCGCGAAGCGAGAAGGGGTTATTTGAGAATTTCCAAAGCACCAGTGGTATTTAAAGGGACTATTCCACGAGTGAAATTATGTCCAGGAGAGTTCCAAAATATTGAAAATAACTGAAAGCGTACGCTAAAATCAGAGGTAACGTTACGCTGTTTATTGGCCATCGAAAAAGCAATCGATGCATAACGCCTCCTAAGATAGATGATCACAGTTTATGATTGGCCAGTACGTAGAAGCGGATACAGAAGCGATAAACTTTTTGAGATACACCACCCTGATTTGGGCATTTTGTATGTATATTTGAACACTATTGACTTTAACTTCACTGGAATAGTCATTTAAAATCATAACATTACCGCAATGCCGATAAAGGACATTTGATAGTACCGATAATATATTATCACTAATATTATTAACAATATTAATAATATTTACCACTATCATTATTCAAATAATCATATTTTTTCTCACATTTTTATCTGTTTAAGCTATCCTAAACTTTGGAGTTTTTGTACAATTTGTTTTGATGTTGTATTTAAAATAGACCACTCTGGTTTCATTCATTTACGCTGACTTTTATTTTCTTAATTTAATTGAAAATTATACATTGTAAAATTCTGTTCAGGGAGTAAATATAATTTTGAAATTTATTTTTATAATATATAATAGGCTGGTCATCGAAGAAAAGTCTCAATATTGAGTAATTTATGAGAAATGGGCAATAGAAATTAAAGAATCCATTTTCAATAATATCCTCCATAATCATGTCAAAAATTGTAATGAATTTCATTGTCTTACTCCAGTTATGATATCAGAATCGGTCATTATAAAGCATCATTTCCATTATATGTTTGTTTAAAAAACAAAAATAAAAACGTTGAACAGTTCAAATAAGATTTTCTTAATCTCTCTTCAAAGCTTCACATTTTTATTAAAGATGTTTCCATTCGCAAAAAGCATCCCCCACCGAGCCATTGAAAATCTTTTCAATAGCTATCCATGCCAATCCCTATCCTACCCCATGGCAGCACAATTCAGTTTACATTTAATAATATTTTTCCTCTCCGCAACGAGGGATAAAAGTTTGTTTCCTCACGTGTAAAATTAACTCCTCTTTCTTGCTTCTTTCCCCCTTTCCATTTTGAAACTCCTACACACAAAGTAGGACGCACTAAAACAAACTTTTACATCAATCTCGCACACAGCTCACGCCGAAGTAACTACAACACAAAATAACAACGAATGAAGCGAAAAACGCCGGACACTTCCATTACCAAAACACATTGGGATTCGCGCGCACAGAGCGCGTTTGACTCGAAAATGCGACGTTGCTGCGGGTGAAAGAGCAATCAGCCAGATTATTTATCAGAAAGATATGTCAGGTATTTTAACAATAAAAACTTAGGCGAAACACAAAATAAATATCAGGCACTTTTACCTGACGGATAAAATATCTGTCGTATTAGTATCCGGAACTTTATCAGGCACCGAAGAAACAAGCCCTAAAACTACTTCCAAATTCACGAGGAGCGTCAACCCGCGCGTCAGGGGCGCTGCAACCGGCGCGGCCCTCGAGAGCGACGCGGGTAGTCTACGCCAGGCGGCACTGGCCTCGCTGTCTCCCTTGCCCCATGCCATCAACTGATCTCACTGCAGTGCTTCAGGTCTGGGTTACATAGTAATAAGCTAGTTATACAGCTAAGTAGAATTCAATGCTGTGTGGAGGAGAATTCTAGTGGCCGGCTGTTGTAAAGGTATTTTATTCGAGACCATCTCGAAAGTAGCTCATTGTTGTATGGTTTTGCGGCCAGAAATTTGTTCATTACACAACGACTCTGATAAAAGCATCCTGTAATTAAATTTTTTGTATACCAGCATTACAAACTTCCTATTATTTTGCAAGACATGGTTCATAATCGGACATTTTACGGTACAAATGAAGGCGTATTAGCATTTACCCGGCACGAATGATTGCGTCATCACATGATCGGTCAATCGCAGTGAGAGAATCATAGGGTAGTGAAGGTAAACGGAACAGCGGACTACAGTTCTGTTGCACAGACTCTCTCCTAACGTCGCTTGTTTTCAAAACATGTAATAAAGCTTAACATTATAAACTAATTGCATAAACTACCATTTCCTGACTCCACTGTCACCAACCTATTATGTAGCTGCTTCCCACGAGAAACCATTGCTTTATATTAAAATTCCGTGACTTGGTATTAGTTAACCTGTTATAGATCTCGAATGTCAATGCACACAGCGTCTTTACATGTAGCGCCAGTCCCGTCTTCATCTATCTAAAAAACAAACTACAGCCAGCAAGCCACGTAGAAAAGGTTCCCATGTCAAAATATATTGAGTTTGCTTTTATAACTTTCAAAACATCAATTGATATTGAAACAATTTAAATTAATTGTAAGTGAACAATCTATTAAAGAGCTCTTTGACGGTACTTTCTACTCATTTCGAAAAATAATAGATCTCTAACGACACACACACATTTACTTTTAAAATTTTATTTTGACAAAAATGGTGCCACATAAGTGAAGAAACTTAACTTCATACTACTATATCGTACTACGTGCAACAGACTTCAGGTACTACTGCTGGACACTTTACATTAAAAACCAG